AGATCCTGTTGCTTAAATCCAGAAAGGCAGTACTAGATCGGATACCAGCAGGGGCCATAGCAGACACTGGCATGAAACTTTCCTCCCCATAGCATCTCTGACAGCTGCTAATGATTGTAACTATAGGGCACACCTGGCTAAGCATCTGCTGCCATTGCTATGGGGTGGAAATCTGTCTATAGGTCATCACCTCCATGGGAGCACTAGATGCCAACCCCAGTGCCTTGCTCTGGCCAGCCCCAATAACTGAGGATGACTCCACAGGAGACTGTGGGAGGCAGCAAGTGCTCAACTACAGCAGTGCAAACCCTGACATGGACACTAAGGACAGTGCTTGGCTTTGAGCTTCCTTGTGCATGTTTTCCCCCCTGCTCACCTGGGTCCCCTGAGCAGCAGCCCAGCTTATTCATCCTTCCCTGCCTGGAGCAGTTTCACTGCATTAGTCCATCACCTGCCTGGGAGAGGAGACCTGCTTCTCAGCAGGGTGAGCTCTTCCCTGCACAAGGAGGAGTCCATCCTACCCCAGCTCAGAGGTGTGACCCAAAATTTGGGGGTAACTCCACATCTAGGGGGTGGGGTTCATGGGTTCATAGATGTTGGGGCTGGAAGGGACATCAAAGATCATCAAATCCAGCCCCTGCCTTGGGCAGGAAGCTGGCTAGGGTCAAAGGACCCCAGCAAGATAAACATCCAAATGTTTCTTGAATAAGTCCAGAGTAGGTGCCTGTACCACCTCTGGAGGGTGTCTATTCCAGGTCTTGGGGGCTCAGACAGTTTAAAAAAAAAAAAAAGTTTTTCTTATGTCCAGCTTAAAATGGTCTTGTAGGGTTAAAAAGAGCTGCTGCCTTAGCTGGCTGTGAACAACCAGCATGCCCTGCACCCCTGCTCTTCAGCAGAGCTAACTCTGACTTAACTGGGTCTGAAGCTTGCTGTTGCTTTCTGGCCTGTACATAGGTTTTTTGCCACTTAAAATTCCAAGCAGAAGGGTTTGGACTACACTGGGAGTGTGCATACATGGGTGAAGAAGTATCCAATAATGCATTGATAAAAGCACGTTGGGCTCACGCCTTATGGCAGATGGAAGTATTGGACTGGGTAGCATCTGAAACATGCAGTGTGTAGGAGGGAAAACACCTTTTTATAGTCGCTCATAATCCTACATTTGCTGAAGGAGGGGCTTTAGCCCACTAAAAACTGCTGATTGCTGCTGAATAATAACATAGCTGTGCTGCTGCTGGTGGCTTATTAGGAGTGGCTGCTATTCCAGCTGGATCCCTGCCTGCAAATACTCCATCGTGGGTGGAGCACCTTCCAGCAGTGCAGCATGGACCAGTTGCTGTGAGGCTCTGATCCTCCTGGGCTGGTGGGGGATTGGACTTCATTTAGGCAGATGTAAAATCTACGTGAGCTCAGGAAGCCTGGTGGGTAGGGGAGTCCACCAGGAGTGGCTTCTGCAGTGACTTGGCTCGAGCAACCCAGTACTGGGGCTAAACTGCTCTTCTAGGTGTGCAGATTAGACTGACGGGGTGTTTTGGAACAGTCTTCAAATACCTGAAGGGCAATTACAAATGATGGAGAGAGGCTTTCCTTTGTGGCTGTAGGGGACAAGACTAGGAGCAATGGCTTCAAACTGCAGCAGGGGAAGCTCTAGTTTGGAGACTAGGAGGGTGGTCAAGCATGGGACCAGGCTGCCTAGAGAAGTTGTGGCATTTGCATCCTTGGAAACTTAAGAGCAGGTTGGATGCATACTTGGCTGGGATGGTCCTGCCTTGAGCAGGGGGCTGGACTCAATGACCTTGTGAAGTCCCTTTCCAGCCTGCTTTCTAATGATCTTGTATTTCTGCTGCAGTCCTGCCCACCTCCCTGGGCATCCATGCCTGCATGCCCCTCACTCAGTGGTCTCAGCAGGAATGAAGTGCATTTCGGGGGGGAAATCTGAAGTCTTCAGCCCAGAAGTGGGGAACCAGCAATTCTGTGAGACGCAGAGCAAGTGCAGGTATATTGAAGTCCTAGCTCTGAGCTTCACCCATGGTAAGAAGCCACCTTCATGCACAAGGGTCTGCCTTAATGCCCTGTGCAGAAGAGCTGAACTGAGGCCTACCAAACTCTTGCAGGAATTTGTCCAGTAAACTGACCAAGCATCTTGTCGTCTTGTGGATTTTAACCAGACTGGTTTTGGGAGGTGGGAGGGAGACTAGCCTCAAATCCCATCCTAGTCCTGTGGCAGCTGCCAGTGTCTGAGGGGGAATGGCAACAAGGAACAAAGGGAAGGTGCCTTGTGATGGACCCAGAACATGGGGGAGTGGGGAGTGTTGACCAGAACCTGCTGCTTGAGCAGACAAGAGCATGTGGCCTAGGAGAATGAGGCTCTGGAGGAGCCTGTTTCGTAGTGATGGTGGCACTGGTGATGGGGGACCAGCTGAGTCAAGAATGGCAGGAGCTAGATTGGCTGGAGGGCTGCTTAACGAGTTTCGGTGAGCTGTCAAGGACTGCAAGGGTAGCCCTGCCCTTTGACTGGTGCTCTTCTTGGGACTAGAACATATTTTAACTTACATTTTTTTTGTTATAAGTGATTGCGTAATAGCTCAAAATGAAGTCTGACTCCTGTGTATTGCGGGAGTATGGGTGGGTTGGTGGGGATGGGGGTTTGTGGGGAGCCCACATGTGGCTGTTTTGCAGTGCCACTGCTGCCCCGCTGGGCAGCCCAGAGGTGGGTGGGGGTGATGCTGGTGGACATGCAGAGTAGCCTGGCACACGCTCCGAGTGGCTGCCGCAGGAAGAGCCCAACAGCAGCAATGGGGAGGAGCTGCTTTTCCCCTGTGCTGAGCAACAGCTTTTGCCCAGCCGCCGCTGCTGCTGCTGCTCAGCGCAGGTGAGTCCCGAGTGGGGTGGGTTGGGGCTGTGTGCTCGGGTCATAGATTCATAGATTAAGGGTCGGAAGGGACCTAGTAGATCTTCTAGCCCGACCCCCCGCGAGGGCGGGAGAACAACAAAAAAAAAAAAACCCAAAATTTTTTTTATCGGGGCGGGGGGTCCTCACTGATACTGCAGGGCTGGGGCTGGCAGTGGTGGTGGCCAGAAGGAGCCACCATTGCTTGGTCTGTCTAGAAAGGCAGTCCAGCTGTGGAGCCACCTCAGCCCCGCTGCTTGCCCGGGGGGTGGCGGGATGTGCCACGGCTGGACAGTGCCTGGATCAGGCAGGACCGAGGGACCCACTGCAGCCTGGACGAAGACCCTCCATGGGCTGGATCTGGCCCACAGGCTGTATTTTACCAACCTGGGCACGATTGTCTCCCCAAGGCTTCAAGGGGGGGGAAGCATAGTGAACATCTCGAGCAGCCCAGGCTTGACACTTCTTGAGGAACATCACAGACTCTGATATACTGTGCCACAGACTGGTGGGGGGATCCCTGCATCAAAGCCAGCAGCAGACCATGGCTGTATGGACTTGTCCAAACCCTGCCCTTTCAAGGCTTTGTTCCTGTGCCCTGCAGGATGCTTTAGGACTGCCATGTCTATGCTGGGCTCCCCATGCATGGCTCGGCCTCAGAGCCCTGCATCCCACTCCTATTCCTGGCCAGCTTAAGGCCTGTGCTGCCCCAGGCTCAATTCCCTGTCTGAGGAGCATCTATAGCTGGAGGGAGGAGCAGGAGGTGAGGCAGTTAGGAGTGGGGGGTGGAAAAAGTCATCTGGAAGTCTGACTTGTGCCAGGACTAGAAACCTCCAGCAATGTTTGCGGAGGCAGGACTGCTCCACGCAGGCTTCCCTGGGCCCCTTGCTGGCAGGCGGGCAGGCAGCCGATGCTGCAGTGCAGTAGGTTGGGCATTGGGTTGGACCCTGTATGAATTGTGCACAGACAGGCCTCCAGGAGGAACAGAGTGGTCTTGAGCCAGCCAGGAGCCCATGCCAGGTCACCTGCCATGGCTCCTGCACATGCAGGTGCAGCAGGAGGTCCAGGGCCTGTGGTGTGGTGGGCTCAGAACAAGAGGGGCTGCCCAGGCCTTGGGGCCGGTGAGCTGCCTCTGCCTCTGCATAATGCTGTGTTCTGATGCCCCCATGCTTGGGGGTGCCTTGGGGTTGTCCCAGGTGCCTTGGGGCTGTTCCAAGTGGTTTGGTTTCAGGAAATGCCCCCTGCAAGGAGCAGAGGAACAGACTAACACCCCCTAGGAAGGTTTGCCAGGCCACCTGTACCATGGCTGATGGGGGGCCTTGTGTGACTGCAGCTCTACCAGAAGCAGCAGCTGTCTCACTTGGAGCAAGACTCTGTCCATGAGAAGCCTGTGGGGTCCATGTGCACCTGGGGGCTCTTCCATGTGCAGCTTGGCCCCTGAGGCATTGTTGCCCTCCTGCCTAGCCCTTGATGCTCCCCAGCATAGGAAAGCTGTTCCAGGTGGGCAGGGCCCATCTCTGAGCAGATGCAAAAGGTGCAGCTACTCATCCTTCACCCCTCTGGTTCATGCTGTAGTGGCTGCTTGCTGCTGGTGGGGTCACAGCTGCTGCAGCTTAGTCCTGCCAGGGCATGGCTGCATATACAGAGGGTGTCTCCTGGCTGGGGACCTGTTTCACTGGGCTCTGTATTGGCTGTGGTTTCTTCTGAGTAATACAGCATCCACAGTGTGGAATAGAGGCCATGGGGGGCTGGTGACTTTATTCAGCTGTTCATACAGCTCATCAATGAGCCGAGCCAGTGGAACAGGCTGAATAACCCATGTTTTAGTTCCCCACAGCAGAAACTTGAGTCTTGGTAACTAACTACCCTGCCCTTTATGCCCTGCACTCCAGGCCTTGCAGCACTTGGACTGCTAATGGTGGTATTCAGAAGAGCAGCACTAAATCCTGAATAACCTCTCCAATGCAGTCCAAGCTTCCTGACTGCCCCCTGCATCTTTCATGACCTTTAGTATCTGCATTTGGGTCCCAGGGCAGCTGTGCCAGGGAAGGGTCCTGGGTATCTTCTGTGGTGTCTGACACTGCTGTGTCCTGTCCCCTGTTTTCTGCAGGGGGCCCGGGTGTGGATCCCTGACTGCGTGGAGGTCTGGAAGCCTGCAGAAGTAACTAGGGGTTACAAGGAAGGAGATGGTGTCCTCTGCCTCAGACTGGAAGATGGGCAGGTGAGGCAAGCAGCCTGCAGGTGCTTCAAGCTATCCTGCCTTCATGCAATAACAGTGCTACAGGACAGCCTACTGGTGTGGGGGTGTGAGCGTGTGTTCTGTGTATGCACATGCGTACATATGGTAAGGGGCTGCTTCAAGGCCCAGACCCCAATTTCCAGCCAGTCCAATGGAGACGAGCTGGTTTTGAGAGGTTTCTAGTTCTGCTCTATGCTCTGGCATGTATGGTAGCCGTTCACCTGGCGGGTCACTGGTCAGCCCTTCCTCTTGGGCTGGGATAACAGCTGAGCAGCCAAGATGGGTGTGTGGAGTTCAGCCAGCTGCTATGCTGGGAGAGGGGATGGGGAGTAAGGGGGATAGGTTAGGTGTTGCTGCTGTAGCAGCTTTTCAGCAGGATGCAAGGGGCCTAGTCTGGTGCACAGCTGGGCTGCTCGGGTCTCCAGTGCACCCCATGCAAGGCAGCCACCAGGCCTTCTGCCAGATAAGCCCAGCCTTGCTGCAAGTCTGCTTCCTGCCTTCATTGCTCCACAACCCCAGGGCTGCATCGAGCTCTAACACTGGTTTCCAAAGTGTAACCCAGTGGTGGGATGACATGGGCTTTAAGGGTAGTGCTGACTTTGGCATTGCTTATGCTTTGCATGGGTTGCTTTTTTTTTTTTTTTTTTTTTTTTTTTTTTTTTTTGGTTTTTTTTTTTTTTTTTGGTTTTTTTTTTTTTTTTTGGTTTTTTTTTTTTTTTTTGGTTTTTTTTTTTTTTTTTGGTTTTTTTTTTTTTTTTTGGTTTTTTTTTTTTTTTTTGGTTTTTTTTTTTTTTTTTGGTTTTTTTTTTTTTTTTTGGTTTTTTTTTTTTTTTTTGGTTTTTTTTTTTTTTTTTGGTTTTTTTTTTTTTTTTTGGTTTTTTTTTTTTTTTTTTTTTTTTTTTTTCCCCCCCCCTCCCCTCACCTGGGTGCCCTGAGCAACAACCCAGCCTGTTCATCCCTGGCTGCCCTGAACTGTCTTGCTGCAATGGTCCATTGCCTGCCCCAGAAAGGACCTGCAGGGTGAACTTCTCCCAGCACAAGGAGGAGTCCATCTTTTTCCCCCAGCTCGGAGCAGTGCCCCAGAATGGGGTAACTCCACATGAAGTGGGGAAGAGCTGCTGCCTCCATCTAGCTGCAAGTAACCAGCCTACCCTGCACTCCTGTGCTTCAGTCCTGCCCTGTAGGAACCCTCCAGTGTGTAGCTGGAGCCAGGCTGGGCTGCTCAGTCTGTGACTAATAGCACAAGAATGGCCCAGACCACATCCCGGCCCAGGCCCTGCCAGCAGCACCACAGCCATTCCCGATCTTTCTGCTGGCTGGGAAGCCAGCCCAGCAGCCTGAGCCACTCGGCCCTTGGAGCGGGCACATTGCCCACACCAAGCCCTGAGTGTGACCTGGAGTCTCCTTTCTTGGACAGGAGGTGGCCTATCCCCTTGACCCATGCTGCCCCCAGCTGCCTCACCTGCGCAACCCCGACTACCTGTCGGGGGAGAACAACCTGGTGGCACTCAGCTACCTGCATGAGCCGGCTGTGCTGCACACCCTCCGGATGCGCTTCCTGGAATCCAGCACCATCTATACCTACTGTGGTGAGTGGCCTGGCTGCTGCTGGATGCAGGCCGTTCCCTTCCCACTGTGATGCCCCCAAGCTTAGTGACTACTGCCTGCCTTCCTTGGGGGTGGGGTGGGGAGCAGGACACTGGGGACCTGGGCTCCCTGTGATCTTCATCCAGAACAACTACAGTTCCTGTTCCCTGCAAACTACCCTCCCCTGCCATGCAGCTCTTCCTGGGAGTTCAGTGTGAAACCCAGAGGCCACAATGATGGCTAGGTACCAAGGTACCACTTTAACAGCTCACACCGTTCACTTCAAAGTGGGCAATTGATGTTACTCCCTCTGCCCCCATGAGCATGGCCTGAGTTGCTTGGGAGGGTTTCTGGCTTACCATCAGTCTTTGCTCCCGCAGGCATTGTTCTTGTTGCTGTTAACCCTTACAAGCAGCTGCCTATTTATGAGGAGGCGGTCATCCATGCCTACAGCGGTCAGAACATAGGTGAGATGGATCCCCATATCTTTGCTGTGGCAGAAGAAGCCTACAGGCAGATGTCTAGGTGAGTAGATCTTCCCTCCCCCATGAGCTAGGTGGTTGCTGGCGCTTCCTGCAGACCAGAAGCCCTGGATAGTGGCACTGGTAGGATATCTCTGTGTTCAAGGTCCTCTCGAGCCTCTTTTCAGGGCTCACATGTGCTGGACCACCACAGGTGGCAGAGAGGCTTGATCAGGGGTGGGCAATTATTTTGGCTGGAAAGCTGCTTTAATGAGTTGTGTTGTTTTTTTTTTTTGTTTTGTTTTTTTTTTT